AGAACTGAGCTCCATCAGGATACAGGGGAGAGAAGCTTAGCACCCAAGGAAAGGTTTTGTACCCCGACTAGCTTCTTTGCTGATGGAGAGCAAGAAGGAGAACCTCTCGTTCCTGCTTGCCAGGGTAGAGATGCTGCGGCTGCCCAGGCAAAGGGCTGCACGCAAGCCCAGACCCCTCCAAGCAACTGGCTGCTCCACAGCTGAGGAGGGATGGGAACAAGTAAAGGGAACTGCAGCAGGGAGGGCTTTGGGGAATTTGGAGCTGGGCTAATTTTGCATGGGTAACAACACCGCAGGACAAGTTCCCTGTTGCAGAGACACCTAAGGCTACTCACTGCCATTGCTCCCCGTCCGAGGCAGCAGCCAGCAAACAACTGCAAGTCACTGCAGGAAAACACCAGAGCCAGGAATCACAACTCCTCTGCTACACTTACTGTCCCCTTATCCGCAGGATTCCAGTACTGTAAAGCCCTGGATTTTGCGCTCTGGAGACCGAGCTCCGGAGCCAGCAGATCTTCACCCTGGAAGGCTCATGGCTTTAACCTTCCCCTTTGCCATGGGGCTGTGAGATCTTAGGGAACGAAAAAAAATGAAAATGAGATTTGAAAAAGGGAGAGAAGAGGTAATGATAATTAGGGCTTTTCTTTGCTCAGCTGTGCTGGTTTTGGCTGGGACAGAGTTAATTTTCTGCACAGTATCTCCTATTGGGATATGTTTTAGATTTGTGCTGAAAACAGTGCTGATAATACAGGGGTGGTTTAGTTACTGCTGACCAGCGCTTATACAGAGTCAAGGCCTTTTCTGCTCCTCACACCACCCCACCAGCCAGTAGGCTGGGGGGCACAAGAAGTTGGGAGGGGACGCAGCCAGGACAGCTGACCCCAACTGACCAAAGAGATATTCCATACCATGTGACGTCATGCTCACTATATAAAGCTGGGGGTAGAAGAAGGAAGGGGGGACATTGGGAGTGATGGCATTTGTCTTCCCAAGTAACCATTATGCGTGATGGAGCCCTATTTTCCTGGAGATGGCTGAACACCTGCCTGCTGATGGGAAGCAGCGAATTAATTCCTTGTTTCGCTTTGCTTGCATGCACAGCTTTTGTTTTAGCTATTAAACTGTCTTTATCTCAAGCCATGACTGTTCTCCCTTTTACTCTTCCGAATCTCTCCCTCATTCCACCAGGGGTGAGCGAGTAAGCAGCTGTGTGTGCTTAGCTGGGGTTAAACCATGACACCAGCCTAGGAAAATCTGGGTGCCTGCCATCCCTCTCCGCCATCGGCCTCACAGCCCATGGAACAAAATCAAGGCCCTTTCAGCCCCCCACACAACCAGGTCAAACATCCAACCCTGCAGGTGTGAACCTCCTGTTCTCCCCAAAGCTAAGCCCTCGCCATGCCAGCCACCCAACGGACCACATTGGCCAAGGGGAAAACACAGTCTGATGAGCGTCAGATCGAAGCTCTTGTCTCGTTGCAGCTGGAGCCATTTGCACCCTCCTCAGATTCTGCTTTGATGGGGATGGATGTGGAGGTAATGCTCCCCGGCTCGCTGCCATGCCGCAGGGAAGGCAGGATGAGACCCCGCAGGGGACTGCAACGGCATTTCCTGGATGTCAGGAAGCCGAAGCGATAGCTGCCTTGTGAGTCCAGAAAACAAACTCACTTCTGGGCTGAGCCCTCATTTCAGAGGGCCTGACTATCCCACTGTTTCCCTGCCAAACTACCATGTCTCCCCCCCATGCCTGTGCCGAGCCGGCAATGCTCGAGGACCCTCCAGCAGACCATTATGGTTGGACACCGTAATGGTCACCATGCCAGTATGCAAGCACTTTATCGCACAGCCTCATCCTGCTGTCAGCACTGGGCTTTGGGCTCTCCAGAGAGCTGCAGGGACGAGGTCACAGGGGAAGAAGAAGTGAGGGCCAGGAGCATCCCAGCTGGGCAGTGCCATGGCGAAGGGTGATCCTGATGCAGAAACATACTGCGTCTGGAGACACACATTGGGCTCAGCTGGGCAGTAAAAGGCATGGGTTAAAAACAAAAACACCACATGGGCTGACGTGGGAAGGGAGAAATAATGCTCGGCACTGTTGCTTTGCTTGCCAACCCCAAGCCTTGGAGCTGGTTGAGTGTGGGACAAGCCTCAGGATGCCCAAAAAGGCCATGAGAGCTCTCAGACTGCTCTTGTGCAACTCCAAGAGTTGATTTTCTCCCAGGCAAAACACTGAAATGACCGAGACATTCGGCTGAACAAGGCAGCTCATAAACACCCCTGGATGCTGGCTGACGGCTTGTTCCTGGAGAAGAGTCCAAGTTTGACGGAACATTTTCCATCATGCTGAAAACAAGTATAAAAATCACCACTGGCAAAG